CTCTAAGCTATATTAAAAGGTTGCTTGCAATTCTACCTTTCCTTTTTCCTATCAAAATAGAGCAAAATATAATTGAGACAAATCGCTTTTCTGGGTCAATTTTTTACAAAATGGCCCAATCAGGGTAAAATAGTCTCTCCCATAATATACTTTTTAATTGTAAAAATTAATTTAAAAAACTTTCTAAAAATTTAAAAAATATTTTTATAGAGACTCTTTTGCCATGCCAGCCTCAAGGGAGGAAGAGTAACAAACCTCATTTTTCTGAGGCTTCATCCAGGAAGAATGAACTACATCTTTTCTCTTTAATATTTAATCTAAACTTTATTAATTTTTTTAAAAACTAAAAGATTCTGTGTCTAATTTATGCTCACCTCCAGGACTGCTCTAAAGCATGGTTCATGTGATATAAAGCTCGCATAAAAGGCTGCGTTATCTTGAGCTTTCTTTATTATCGTTTTAGTTCAGCCATATTTTTCTTTTTAAGCTTTAAAAAGCATTGATCTGAAACGAGCCCTTCGCAGTGAAACTCTCTCATTGTGTAAGAACAGGAGGGGGAAGTCCGTGAACAGAAGGGCTTCCATCCCCCTGAGACTCATATCCAGGAGCCAGAGTCACTGTCTCTCCTGGTCCTCCACCCAGCTGATGAGAGAGGAGAAACAGCAGCCCAGGAAAGTTTTGCCAGAATAAAGTACTTCGAGTCCTTCTCATGGAGCCCATCCTGTTTCCTTCTGCTCACCTGATGCGCTGTTTTCAGTTCTGAGCGAAACATTTCAAGGTGGCCAGGAAGAGTTGTGTGAATATCCCAAGAGAGATGGCCAGTGTCATAAATGAAATGAAAATCAGCAAGCTGGGCATGCTGAGATAATGAATCACTTTAGGGAGATAGGGTGGATCTTCTCTCTGATGGTCAGTCAAGTGGAAGAAGATATTCTGTGAGATTCTAGAAGCAGAGAACAAAGGTCAGCAGATGGAAATTGTGTGATGAAATATCATAACTCAGTATCAGCAATTTCTTATCATTGGTTGTTACTGTTGTTTAGTTTCTAAGTTGTGTCTGACACTTTTGCGACCCTGTGGATTGTAGCCCGCCAGGTTCCTCTGTCTATGGGATTCTCCAGACAAGAATACTGGAGTGGATTGCCATTTTCTTCTCCAGTTACCCAACCCAGGGATGGAACCTGCGTCTCTTTAATTGGAAGGTGGATTCTTTATCACTGAGCCACCAAGGAATCTATCATTGGTTAGTGCTGTCCAAAAAGTTAAAGAGATTTCCTTGCCAAGTAGGGAGCTCTTGGTCTCTGGCAGGGCTCCCAGGACACTGACTGATGGCCTTGTCTTGCATGCTATTGCAACTGTCCTGGCTTGGGGTCAACCCCAGCACGGGATGGCCACGTGGCCGAGACTGCTACCCAGCCACCAAGATGCAGCCCCTTCTGTCCACAGTAAAGACTTGTCACGAAGAAACAGCTGTCCAGCTGGGGGCTACAACTCTCAGCCTCCTTTGTATATATTTGGGGTCTTGTGACTAGTTATGACTGACCATTGGAATGTGAGCAGAAGTGATGCTTGTCATTTCCACCCCACAACAATTAGGGAGCCAATAAGTCTTCTTCATCCTTTCTTTCCCCATCTGTGGTCTGGAGGCTAAAGACTGCAAGGCCCTAGTGAAACATCCAATGTCAGGGGAAGGAGACTTGAAATCTGCTCACAGACCAAGAACTTACCTGCTGACCTGATACGTGCATGAATGCTGAGTCATTCAGTCGTGTCCGACTCTTTGCGACCCCATGGACTGTAGCCTGCCAGGCTCCTCTGTCCATGGGATTCTCAGGCAAGGAGACTGGAGTGGGTTGCCATGCCTGCTCCAGGGGATCTTCCCAACCCAGGGATTGAAGCTGTGTCATTTCCTGCTTTGGCAGGTGGGTCCTTTGCCACTAGAGCTACCTGGGAAGAACTGATACATAGGCCAGTGTTAAGCCAGTGAAATCAGGGGGAATATTTATTTTTTTGACAACAGCTGGTCTGTCCCTAAGGAATGTATCCACTAAGTTTTATTCCAGATGTAAAGATATGGCTGATGCAAAATCAATATGGGTTATTTCTGGAACATACAGGCTACTTGGGAATTCTAGAAATTTCTTTTTTCAGACAATAATTTCCCTTCAGACCAGTGGCGACGGATCTGTTTCATTCCAATCCTGTGTAAGAGCTGCTATCCTGGGCAGTTTTAGTCAAACTCTTCCAAGACGTCAGGGGAAAGATGTGACTCCACAGGTGAACTGTTCCTCTCTACTTGCCTCTGGGTCATTTCCTAGGGTAGCATATCATTTGGAGGGGGCTTTTTCTGGTGACTCAAAGGTAAAGAATTGGCCTGCCAATTCAAGAGATGCAGGTTTGATCTCCGGGTCAGAAAGATACCCTGGAGGAGGAAATAGCAACCCACTACAATATTCTTGCTTGGGAAATCCCATGGATGGAGGCGCCTGGCAGGCTACAGTCCATGGGGTCGCAAAGAGTCGGACACGACTGAGTGACTAAACAACAAGAACGATAATTTGGGGACCATTCTGGGGACACTCAGTACTAAATTATTTCTGAAATAATTTAGGTGAAAGACTGAGGCCACAGGCCCAAAAGTGACCCTAAACAGAACTATAATAGTAATTGCACTATTGGGCTAGAACTGGGTACATTAGCCAGAAGGCAGAAACCAGTTCATTCAAACGAGGCTCCAAGGCCCCCTGAAGGCCTGGTCTGTGACACTGGATTTCCTCTGTGCACACACCATTCTTTTACTTCCCCTTCAAGGGGTATTTAGTTTCCATGTAACTGTGCAGGCTGGAAGCACACTTAGAACCAAAATAGCACCGATTGTGAAAGAGTGTGACCTTGGCAAAACACTTCCATCGTTAGCCTGTGCTCTGTGGCCATTAAGTATTAATGCAGAGAAGCTGTTTGGGCTGAAAATATGGGTCATCTTTTGTGGGGCAGGGCCCCGAGGCAACAAGAGGTTAATCCTTTGTTAGTGGCCATGTCAATCCACGGCACGACCAGGTTCAGAAGCTGATGTGTTTATTTCCCTTGGCTGCACGCAGCTGGACACTGAGAATGTTATTACTAAAAGATCAAACCTTCATCTCCAGCCAAATTCCTGCAGAGGGTGGGGAAGGGTGGACAACGGGCCTGTTTTTCTGTTGGGGCTTGGGCTGGTCTGCCCATACACACAGACCCAGTAGGCCTGTGCAGTCAGGGTGGCATAGGCGCTGAGATACCGATGTGAAAACACTGGTGAGGGCAGGGTTCAGTCCCCCCTCACCCCCCATCCCCCCGAGGTACTATCAGGGGCCCTTGTTTTCTGTGGTGTCCTAAACCTGCCAGGGAGGAATCTGCCGGCTCCGGAAATTGATGCTGTCTGTCAAGGACGGTGGGAATCTGCGTCTTTCTCTTGGGCTGGGGGATGTGGGGGGCTCCTGTCACATCGGCAGGCAGAAGCATGACTCATTGGGGGGCTATGATGGGTCAATACTGTCAATCTGGTCTTGAGTTTATGTTATGCTTTTCTTTGACTGAAGAGGTGAGTATAATGCATTATAATTAATAATAATTAAGGCTTGGGAAGTGCTCCCTTAGAGATTGCAGTAAGCTGAGGCCAGGAGCCAGAGGGGCTGAGCCACGTGACTTCTGAGGTCGCTGCTTCTGCTCTAACAAGTCTCCAGGGGCCCGTTTGGCCACCTTGCACCGGGGTGGGGGGGAAGTGCTCCTTATTCAAGATGGAGCCTGGATCCTTCCCGGGGACACCTGTCTCCAGGACACATAAAGATGATCCAGCGTTGGCTTGGCCGTGTGTGAAGGTGTGAGGGGGTCACAACAGCTGTGGGGCAGTTCATTCCACCTAGGTCCGGGGGCCTTAAGAACGTGGGCACACCCAGAACCCAGGCTCCCCCTGGTGGCAGGTGGAACCCCATCCAGAATTTTGCGTCCTAACACCAGGCCAAGTGTTTAAGACCTCAAATCACCCTGGTTTCTCTAGAACCCCACAGTCCAGGGGGCCTGGGGGTGCCCCCTCCCGACACTGGCATCCTTTATCCCATCAGCCAAATGCACCACGGGCTGCCCGCGAGCTCTGGCGTCTTGGAGAAAATGCCTTCTTCGTCTCCGTCTGTAAGTCAGACCTCCCGACCGGGAGCTCACCCTGGCCTCTGGTTTTCCAGACTGTCGTCGGTGTTTCTTGGCTTGATGAGGTGTCTGGACACAGAAGGTGAGGAACAGACGCCTTAACTCCGGGACTGGAATGGGCGCCCATACCCTCCCCGGCTCTGGTCTTTGACATCTTGGTTTGAATCTTACATCAATGTCGGGAAACAGATTTTCACCCTCGTAGCTCTCCAGCGACCGTAAGAAACAGTGCTACCAATGAAACAGGCCAAGATGACAGAAGCAACGATAATAACCCCCAGACTGAACAAGGAATACCATGGCCCTGCACCTGCCTTACTTTTATTGAGAATTAGAAATGACTCATTTTCAAAAAAAAAAAGAAATGACTCATTTTCATTTTCATTTTTTCTCTTGAACGCAGTTGCTACTATCAAAGAAGCAGAGATATGCCCTTACTCACGAAGACATGATCTCTGGGCCCTCCGCTGGGTTAAGGGGCCTGGGAGGGATAATAGGGTGGGCGATGTCTGCTCTTGTGCTGCCTGGGCTCAGCAAGTTGCTGGACCACTGTCCCTTGGAGCCTGCATCTGTGCGATGTCCCCACCTGAGAGCATCTCTGAGGATTAACTAAGCCAAGACAGGGGCCCTGCCGGGAACAGTTCGTCCTGACACTCCATAATCATTAGCTGCTGTTAGGAGGATTAGGAGAGCACGGCAAATGTGCACTTCCCTGAGCTTTTGTCTTGGGAAGGGAACTCTTCAAGCATGTGCCAAAGCCAAACTGATTTAGTTTTAGAGCTATAGAGAAAGACATTGCTATCTGCTGAGATCTTACTCACCAAGCACCAGCTTGCGGTGCGTGTTTACGGCTGATGCAACTGTTAGAAATAAGAGGCTCTGGAACAGCGGATGCCTCCGCAGTGGAGTCATGGGATGTGCTTTATTTGTAGGGGGCTGGATAAATTCCGACCTGAGTTATCTTGGGACAGCCCTTAAGTGGCCTGTGTGAGCCACATTTCAGGCTCAAGCCCAGTTCCTAGAGGACAGGTGTGCGTCCGAGAATGTTGGCGATGGTCTCGGAAACTTTGGTGGGAGACCAGTCCTCAGATGGATAGGGTCCTAAAGATGTCCCAACCTGGACAAGGGCCACCAAGCAGTGGTCTCAGACATAAAAGCAAGGAAGCCAGCTGCCAATGGTTGGGTGGAAAAAAACAGGCACTGATGATTTTGGAAGCTTGCCGATATCTGACATTTCATAAACATTAAATGCATTGATGAGGGAATTGATGCGTCCAATAGAAACTGTGACCCTGAATTTGGTGCTGTGATGATATGGTGTTGAACATCCATCTATCTGAAAACAGCCTCTTGAATCGTGGACTCCCACGTGGCTGGGTTCTGATGGTTCAGGGGCACGTGCTCGTCGCAGGGTCACTGCGGGCCGTGTCTTTCCCCTTTGCTCTCCTGACCCCCTCTTATTTTCCCCTACCTGCTTTATCTCTGGATGCTGAGATGACATATTTTTTCCCATGGCACAAATACACCCACTTGCATTTTTCAAGGGGACTAATCGTCAAGTGCAGTCAGACTTGGAGACACAGCTACTAAATTTATCTGCAGGAAGAGTGCATCTTGTCTATTTGATATGAGATGGAGCGGTTCTGTTTCCTAAGTGATTCACCTTTGGTAAAAGAAAGTAAGTTCCTGGGAGGAATGAGAACGTTTCCTGTGACTTCTCTCTTTCCTTCCTTGACATTGATACAAACTCAAATGCATTTAAAATAGAGCTAGTTTGGGGAGGGCAGAGGGGGTTGGACTCCAGAGTTCAGTGAACAACCCCAGCCACAGAGGGCCAGGTTCTGTGCCCTAATAAAAGCAGGCTCTGCACAAAGGCTTGAGGGGCTGACCGTCCTCCCCACAGGATGCACCCAGACGAACTTGGCGGTTGCAGTCTCTTTCCCTCCCCTCTCCCCTGCGCCCCCTTCCTTCCCGTCGTCCTGCCAGTTTCACGGGGCGCCAGGAGCCTTGGGGACACTTTTTCTCCCATGCCTCCCTTTGGGAGGCTGTTGTCATTGGGGTTGACACCCGGCTCCTGTGTGGCTGGGCATGGGGTGCTGTTAACTATAGCACTTCTCAGGCACTTGGCCTCCCAAATATGGCACCGCGGCAGCTGAAGCTCCTTATGAAAATAGCACTAAAATGTGTAATGTGCCATAAATAAACAGAGGGAGACAGCCAGGAAGCTGTGCTAATCACTGCTTTGATGTCGCATGAATTACTGTATTTTTAAGGGCCTCAAGTTTCTGACTGCTTGTTTTGACTTAGCTGCCACGGCTCCACTGAAGGGTTGGACCCAGTTTTCCGACCTCCTCTGCCTCCGTGGTGACAGCTGTTGTCCCTTGACTCACAGGAAAACCATTTCTCCACCCTTCCCCTGCTCCCAGCCCTTTCCTGGCAGGACTCCTTGTAAACCTCCCCCCGCCGCGCCTCCCTTCCCGGGGGGTGGCCGAGCGCGAGGACAGCCGCCTGGCAGAGCTCCAGGTTCTCCCAAGGTCTTGTGTCATCTGCCAGCCGGCCAGGCACCCGGCGGCAACATCCTATTTTTAATCTCGGGTGCCCTGGCGCTCTCTTAGTTGGTCTGCTGGGTCGGGAAATGGAGTTTGGCTGGACGGTAGCACTGGGAGCGTGGGGGACTGAACACTTCTCTGAGTGGAGCTCACAGGCAGAGACCATCGTATGGCCCGGTTTTGGGGGCGCAGGACCTCCCGGCTTTGCCTGCACAGTGACTGGTCCCTTTAAAACAAGCCCCAGTCCTGACGTGCCAAGCATGAGTCTGAGAGGCCTTGGGTGATAAGGGTTCCAGGCCTTCTGTGATTTCAGGATGACATGGATGCCACAGGCCGCGGGTAAAGGCCAGGAGCGGTCCCCACTCTGCACTGCCCAGGCGACCCCTTTCAGACCTGACTCCAGGCAGCCCTCTGGCTAGTTCCTGGGCTCAATCTCTGCTCTGCTCCTGGAGCCAGCAGCACCCTCTTGTGGTCAGAAGAGCTGTGGACAGACTATTTCCTTTTCCTCCTTGCTTTTTTAAGAACTATAGTGTTAACATTTTCTCTGTTTTAGCCTTCCCCACTAATCCCTAGAGGGAAAAATGTTATCTATTTAGTTTGAAGATGAGTTGGGTAGAGAGAGAGATGGTGAAGGTACTTTTATTACCATCATCATCCTTGTATTAACCCCTACCCCCAATCATGCCACATACATCCTCTCAAACCTGGACTTGGAAAAAACATCTCTTTTAATGGTCTCTCCAGGATTCTATCCCTTCATCCTTATTTAATTATCTGTCTTAAAATTAAGCTGAATTCTCTTTAAACTTTTTTTGTGTGTTTTTTATTACTGCTTTGTTTCGGAGAATGTTGACAACTGCCCTCTAGATGTAGCTGGAAGGCGGAGCCCTTCATAAAACACCCATTTCTGCCTCTGCTGGGGGTTTCTTAGTCTCTTGTACTAAATCGGAGCTGAGCCCACGCTCTCTGACCATGAGCTGGACTCTCCCCTCCTCCCCTCACTCCTGTTCTGCTTCCCTGGGAGGTGTCAGACCCCGTCTTGGGTCTTGTCCTCTGCCCGCCCACCTCTGCCCATCTTCACCAGAAGGCCCTTCTGCCTTAGCCCTGGTGGACACTTCCTCTTCCTCAATCCACTGGCACTTGCAATTCATGCTAATTAGCACCTTGTTATCCTTTTGCAAACGACTTCAATCCATCTCCCCAAGGAAATTAGTATTTCTCATGAGCAGGGACCAGCCACGTACCTTTGTTCCTCCTTGGCTAATGCAAAAGTGACAGTGAGGGTCACCGTGTATCCCTGTGGACCTCTCACTGCATGTTGCTCCTGGGTGCGTCAGTGTACCACATCCTCACAATGACCTTCCGAGGTCAATGTCGTTACAATGATCAGGGGACTATCACACAGCAGGAGGCATGGAGACTCAGAGAGCACAGGGCCCCTGCCTTGGTCCCAGTGAGGATGGGATGGACCCAGAACTGTGATCCTAAACACGGATTGCTTTCTCACCACAGTCAGCCAGCCCCGCCGTCTTGACAAAGACTTTGTGATGTAAGTTCTGTCTTAAGGGTCATAACTGCAAGCTATGATGAAAGGCTCAAATCTCTGTTTTCGATGTTTCCCTTTTGTCTCAGTGGTAAAGTGCTTGGCTTGCCTGCCAAGCAGGAGATGCGGGTTCAATCCCTGGGTCGGGAAGATTCCCTAGAGAAGGAGATGGTAACCCACTCCGGTATTCTTGCCTGGGAAATCCCACGACAGAGGAGCCTGGTGGGGTACAGTCTATGGGGTCACAAAGAGACACAATTTAGGGAATAAACAACAACAACAACTGCTTTCAACTATGAGTATAGTGAAATAATCGGAAAAGTCAAGTTTATTTTAAAATACTGCCTATTGTGGAACATAGGAGAAGATATATGGCAAATGCAAATGAAGATCTGTCTCACTGATGTTCTCTCTCTGCAGAAAGTGATCATTACAAATCAGTACGGATGTTGCTGCCTCCAACTATCAGAGTTCAGTTCCGTTCAGTCGCTCAGTCGTGTAGAACCGGACCAAACTGGCTTCAACAGGAAGGTCATCGGCCACGTGCAGTTGGCAGGATTCAGGTTTGCTCAGTCTAAGACTGCAGCTCCAACAGCCCACAGCTCTGGGCTTGCCCTCCTTCCACAGAGGGTTTTATTCATGGGTGGGTGGTGAGCAAAGACTGAGTAGTCCTGAGGCCCACTGGGGGCAGGCCACCTTTAGCGGAGAAGGGAGTTATTGCAGAAGCCCTTCCGGAACCTCTGGGAAGAACATTCCTGGAATCCCCAGTGGAGGCTCCTTTGTCTCAACGTTCCACCTGTGAACCCAGCGGTAGCCAGGCCAACCAGGTCCACCGCTGGATCAGGGCTTAGGTCACTTCCCGGAGGAACACAGATGGCAGGCGAAAGGATCCCAAAATCCCCGGGTCCAAGAAGAAGAGAGGAGAGAGCATGCAGCGCCAGGATGCGCCTCCTGGCAGGGCGTGCTAGAACTCAGTGGTTAAGTTTCATCTTGGTTCTTGACCTGTCGGGATGAATTTACTTGCGGATGACACGAGCATCTTTTATTAATCAGTACCTCACCTCGGCAGGATGACTGGTGTTGGGGAAATGAGTCTGTAACCGTGGCAGGAAGCCCAGCTAACATCAACTCCTCTCTGGGTGTTTTGCACTCCCGGCTGTATTTTTAGTGCTCTGCCTTGGTCATTAATTCACCATGTGCTCCTGAGACTCACCCTCCTCCTGGCCCTGTTCCAGGGGCCGGAGACGTGGTGGTGAGCCAGGCTGGCAAGGTTCCTGCTCTGCCGGAGCTCACAACGTCGAAGGGGAAAGGTCAGTAAACAGATTAACAAAAGGGATCACTTTGAATAATGGAAGTGCCACGGAGAAAACCGAATGGGACGGTGCAGTGTGGAGTGAGGGAAGGGCTGGCAGCAAAGCTTGCAGAATTAAAAAAAAAAAAAAAGCAATGTAGAGCCCTTGTTCAAAAGTTGTGACAGATTTGAAGATGATCAGACAGAGCACAAAACGGAGTGCAGGGCCTTCTGAGCCCCGGGGCGCCGTCCCTGGGCTGGTGGTACACCAGTGATGCTGGCCATACACCAGTGATGCTGGCCATGAGCAGGGAACTGCTTTGGGTGGGATGATCAGGGAAGGCTTCGTGGAGGAGGTGGCATTTGGATTGGATTCTGGTGAGCCCTGGGATAGAGCATTCTGGCTATGGTCCTGATGGGATTCGCACCCTGGCTTTTCAAAGACCCAACAAGAAGAGGCAGCCAGTGGAAAGTTGCCCAAAGTGAGGTTGAAGGTTGGATGAAGATGTTGTCGGTCCATAAATGGTGT